CAGTATGAATATAAATGTTTGAAAAGAAAAATGTATATATAGCAATTGTATGATAGTGTTCTGTAACATCAAATGGGCTGAGTTGTTTGGTAGTATTACTGAAGTCTTCCATGTCTTTGTTGATTTTCTGTGTGTTTGTTCTGTCAATTACTTTATTGATGAAAGAAGTTGGAGTTTCTACGACTGTGAATTTATCATATCTCCTTTCAATTGTATTAGCTTTTACTTGTATTTTGAAGCATTGTTCAGTAGACAAATATTTAAAATGGTTATAGTTTCCTGATGACTGACCCTTATTTGTACCAATGTCTGTCCTCTGACCTAAAGTCTACTTTGTTAATAGCCACTAGTTCATCTTTATTATGACCAGTGTTTAAAATGTGTATCTTCACCTGACCTTTCACTTTTAATTTGTGCTTTTATGTTTAAAACATATTTCTTAATGATAGCATACAGTTAAACTGTGTTTCACTGTCTAGTCTGACATTTCTGCCTAATTAGTATGCTTACTTCATTTGCAGCTAATGTAATTATTGATGTGATTGCCATCTTGCTGTTTTGTTTCTGTTTGTCTCTGTTCATAGCCTGTCACTTTCCCTCTCTCTTCTTCCCTCCCTCTCTTCCTCCCCACTGTGTGTGTGTACATTTGTATATAGAGGCCCAAGGACAGTCTTGGATATGTGGTTCCTTAGGTGCTGTCCACCTTGTTTTTTGAAATGTCCTGGACCTCACAAAGTATGCTAGGCTGGCTGGTCAGTAAGTCCCAGAGAACCTCCTATTTCTATCTCTTCAGTTCTTGGACTACAAGTATGAGCTACCACGCCTGACTTTGTTTGTTTGTTTGTTTGTTTTTTAATATGGGACTCAGATTTCCATGTTTGCAAGGTAAGCACTTTATCACCTGAGCTATCATGCCAGCCCTTTTCAGTCTTCTTTTGGGGATATTTTTCAATCATTTTATCTTCTTCATTGATTATAAGCTATGTCTCTTTGTTTTATAATTTTTAATTGTTTTTGATTTTTTTATTTTGTGTGCATAAGGTTTTGCCTGTATGTATACATATCACTACATGCATGGCTGGTGCCCTCAGCAGAAATGGGGGGTGGGGGAGCAGATACCCTAGAACTGGAGTTATAATGATTGTGAGCCAGCGGGTGGGTGCCTGGAACCAAACCTACGTCCTCTGCTTCCTTGCCCGAACAGCTGTTTTTGGTTTTATGCCGAGAGGCCTACTTAGGAAGCCTTCTCTAGCCCAGGAGATTCTCCCACAGAGAGCAGACAGGGGCTGTGTGCTCGCCATATTTATTTCCTTCCCCTCCTTGTTTGCTGAACCAGGATGCATTTTCCTTCATGAAAGAAAGGGTCAGAGTAATGTCCTTTGGACTTGGTTTGGAATCTATTGCCAAACACACAAGATTTCAAATGGCCCTTTGTAAATGGGCAAGCTCCATTCTCTGACCCCCCCCCCCCGGGACAGGCTTTATTTGTACAAGCAAGATATCACCACAGCCCTTTTATTTTTAAAATGCTTCTGTGGCAAAGGCAGGGTGGCACTCTGTCAGTCTCCTTGCTGACAATCCTACATTGTTCTTATTCAGGGTTCTGCTAAATGAGGCCCATGGCAAGGAGGTGAAGCCATGACCCCAAAGGTATTGCCTGTAGTATATGCTGAAGCTATACCAGTATTCTGTTGACCTAGATGGGAACTGTACAGAGAGTCACATAGTCAGGGCTATGGTGGTAATACCGGGAAAGCTCTCAACCAATATAGATCCTGAACTTTTCTCTGGCACCAAACTAAGTAGCACACCAACTAATCAGAGCACTGTGTTTGTTGCATTAGTCAGCAACTGGAAGGCAATGAGGCTCTTGAACTTTGGTAGCACAGCATTTCATCCTTCGTTATTGCCTACTTGCTATTCCATTTCTGTGATACTTGAAGAGTCTTCTTCCAAATGCCAAGAGGAGTTAATCCAAAAAGAATCTCCTCCCTCCCTCCTGTCTGTCCTTCCTTCCTTCCTTCCTTCCATCTTCTCTCCCTCATTCTGTCATTCACTCTTCACTTCTTCTCTTCCGTCTTCTTTCTTCATTTTAGACAGGTTCTCATTATATATTATATCCCCACTGGTCTCAAACTCTCAGATACACACCTGCCTGTCTCCCAATGCTGCTATTAAAGGTGTTGCACCAAAAAATGCCCAAAAGAAAATTGTCTTTTGCAGAGTGAGCAACAGGCATGCAGCATTTTAATCTGAGGTTCATTGTCCATCCCAGGCACTTGACTGATCCGTAAAGAACCAGTACTCTTTTCACCCTTATGACATCAGTTCCCACTAGCTGCTCTGGGCTCACTGGATTGTTGCCACCTAGTTTTGTACCCCAGACCACTGTAAAGCAATCTGTACTGTGGCTACCTTATGGTCTTAATATCACACCATTCTCCAGTCAATGAACTGGTGATATCCTGTGTCCCTTATCAATTTATTCTTGACAGGTTTGGTGGTACATGCAGCAGATCTTTTGAGTTTGAGGCCTGTCTGATCTTCATTCCAGGCCAGCTAAAGCTACATAGAAAGAATGTGTCTCAAAAAAAAAAAACAAAAACAACAACAACAACAAAAAAAAAAAACAGGAGAGATAGTGGGGAGGGGTGGCTTATTCCTATGAGTATCCTTCTGACTGAGGAAAATGGGTATATCTTAAGCAGTGTATATGTGCTTATGATATCTGAGTCCTGCATATGTAGATAATAGTGACATTATAGCTAACTCAGGTTTCCAAGAAACTGGAAAAGGGCTTGAAACATCAGTGTTAAAGGTGGCAGTGACATAGCTGTGCGTTGGTGGCGCACGCCTTTAATCCCAGCACTCGGGAGGCAGAGGCAGGCGGATCTCTGTGAGTTCGAGACCAGCCTGGTCTACAAGAGCTAGTTCAAGGATGGCCTCCAAAGCCACAGAAAAACCCTGTCTCGAAAAAAACAAAAAAAAAAAGGGGTGGGGGGGGGGGAGGGAATGTCAC